AACTTTACTTTTACCAAGTTTTATGTTTGTGTGTGTGTTACTACAAATGGTATTAAAATTCACTTTTACCTCTACTTTCTCTCCCTCTCGTGTCGTCATTCAGCGTGCGGTGTACGTGTACGACGGGATCCCCGAGTTCATCCTGGGCACGCCCACCGGTGGGGGCGGGGAGCTGCTGGCTGCCTTCTGCGGCATCAACCCCGGTCGCGACCTCACCGTCTACGCCAAGTCGGGGGTCGCCTCCGTTTTCTTTGAGGGCAATCTCAAGTCTGCGAGTGAGTATACCTTGTCTGTTTTGTCTGTTTGTGTGTGTGTGTGTGGATTTGTGTTTTTGTGTGTGTGTGTGTGTTTGTGTTTATGCGTGGGTGTGTGTGTTTCAATGTGAGTGGATATGTCTGTTTGTCTTCTTTGGGGGCAATCTGAAGTCTGCGAGTGAGTGTGCCCCGTCTGTGTTTATGTGTGTGTGTGTGTGTGTGTTTTTGTTTGAATATATGAGTGCGTGTATGTGTGTGTGTGTGTGTTGGAATGTGTGTGTGTGTGTATTTTTTAAAGATTGTGTGTGTGTGTGTGTTTGAGTATTTGTGTATTTAATTTTGTGTGTGTATGTGTTTGTCTGTGTGTGTGTGTGTGTTTATGTTTGAATTTATTTGCTTCTGTGTGTGTGTGTGTGTGTGTGTGTGTGTGTGTGTGTGTGTATGTGTGGAAATGGACTTTTTGGTGTGTTTCATGTCAGCTGATTAGAACCTTTCATTGTTCTCAAAATGTGACATCTTTTGAGTTGTGGTCAATATCATCCAGTGCAAAGTAACACTATACTTCCTTTTTTGTCGCCAGTGTCCAAAAGCGGAGGCTTCAACGTGTCTTATCAGGCCCACTACTGCCCGGACAGTTGCCATGGCAACCGTGTGTGCGTGGATCGGCGCTGCGTGTGCAAGAAGGGCTACTGGGGCGAGAACTGCCTGGTTCCAGTGTGTCCTATTGAGTGCTCCGAGGGCCAGGAGCAAGGCCACTGTGTGAGTATGGTTTAAATGGGCCATCAATTTTTTTCTTCTTTTTCTTTGTTCCAGATTTGAGTCAAAGCTTTCTCTGATAGTTTAATCCAACCCTCTAGAATTGAACCCTAGATATATTGTTTAAATTGTTTTAAAATTTTGAAATTTGAAATAGTACTTGAAAATACATCAAATGGATAAATTCTTCAGCTCTTTTTTTATACAGATTTGAAATGGCGCTCTTATGACCTTATGCAATTGTGAGTGCCGTAAAACATTACAAAAAACCCCCCAGATTTGAATGTTGGCTCTTTCTCCCTCTCCCCAGCACAACGGCATCTGCATCTGCGAGTCAGAGTTTGGTGGCCCGGGCTGCATCAGCCGGCTGCGCAGCAACGAGCTGAACATACAGCTGCTGTCCAACTCGGAGCTGGCTCACACACTGGGGCCCGGCCCTGAGCAGGCGTTTGTTCCCGAGGACGAGCGGCTGTTGGGGCCCAGCCCGCGGGCGGGACACACGCTCACCTCGTGCGGGGACGGCCTGCTCTTTGTGTTCGGCGGCTACTCGCAGCGGGAGGGGATCCTGGACGACATGTGGATGTACAACGTGAGCGCGGAGACCTGGACCAATATCTCGCCGGCCACGGGGCACAGTCCTAGCGGCAGGTCAGTGGTCTTGTGGAGTTTTCAGGCCAAAATTTTTCTTTTTTTTTTTTTTTTTTTGAGTTAACGAATTTGCTGCTACTATTCTCATGCAAGAAATGTGTCTGCTTTTTCACAGCACAATATTCTGACACTAAAATTTATATTTCAGTGTTCAAACCAGTATACTGAAACATTAATTTTTGTGTCAGAATATAGAGGCGAATTCATTGTGCTGTGAAAAAGCTGACACATTCTTGGATGAGAATAGTAGAAGCAAGTCCGTAGAGCTGATAGAAAAACTCCCAACATTTCTGGTCTCAGAATACAGAGGCATATTCACCGCGCTGCAAAGCTCAAGATATTTCTGGTGTCAAAATGCAGAAACAAATTTATTGTGCAGTTAAATTCAAGACTTAATTGGTTTCAGAATACAGAAGTAAAATTTATTGCTTTGTAAAACTCTGACTTTTCTGGTGTACATCAAAATACAGTCGAACCTGCCCTGATGGCCACCTCTATAAGACGGCCACCTGTACGAACGGCCACTTTCCATTTCCCACCTTGCGTTTTTTCTATATAATTTAACTGTGTAAAAAGGGCACCTGTCCGACGCGGCCGTGGCCACCATATTTTAACACACAACCCCTATCACACTTAACAATAATACCTGTCTTAGACGGCCACCTTAGTGACTCCATTACGTTTTGTCATAAATTGTTCATTGGCCCCTGGCGTTGTGGGCGAGCCGTCATAATTCAATCACCTGTCGTTGTTGTTAGGAAGTCCCTCCAACCGATCATGTTGCGTAGGCCCCTCCCACTGTTGACCAATAGGTAGGCTACCAATTTTCAGCTGCTGGTGAGGTAAGCGTGTGATCCCTCATAACCCATAAGCCCCGCCCAGAACTCATACACAAATCGTAAGTGAGATGAGTGGTCACTGTTTACCCAGTCTGTAACAAAGTAACAAAGAACGTCAACATGAACTTGTGACAGAAGCGTCGCTCGTTCTCCGAGTGGTGGCGACCCATGTGTTTGTTTTAACATGGCACTCGATTCTTCCTTATCTGATACATTTCGTTTTATTGTCCCCCTTGTGCTAAATCAGCAACAAAATAAAAATTACAAACAAAATACAAACTAACAGCAAAAACAACAACAATGCGGCTACTTTCGATTGGGACCTCAGATGGGAATGGTTTGTTTTCTTTATCTTGATCAGTCCTGCCTAAGACGGCCACCTGCCTTAAACGGTCACTTTTCTCCTGGACAATGGGTGGCCATCTTACACAGGTTTGACTGTACAGAAACACATTCTTTGTGCTCAAGACTTTTTTTGGTTTCAGAATACAGAAATAGAATTTATTACTCTGTAAAGCTCAGACTTGTCTGGTCTTCGTCAAAATACAGAAACAACACAAATTCACTGTGCGGTTAACACCCCCACCCTCCCACTATTCCAGGTACCAGCACGCAGCAGCCTGCCTGCCACTCCTGAAGATGATCTTCATCATCGGAGGCTTTGTGGCTGAGGAGCACGGCGAGGACGGGACGCCCTACCGAGTGACGCCAACCAACTCTCTGTGGAAGTTCAACATCGAGTCGCACGCCTGGACCAGAGATGTGGTGAGCTACGGGGTCCATTATATCGTCACGCTCGTAGCTTAATTTGTTGTAGTCATATTTTGTTGTTGTTTTGTTCAGTTTTAGTATAGACCGAAGGGCTGGAATTCAGATAACCGCTGGATCAGAAAAGTGATTTAACCCTATTTGTATGTCGTGTTTTACTATCATATCCATACGACGTGGGGAAATCTGTGCCACCCAATTTCCAAAGTGGAAATTTACGCGTTAATCTGATCCGTACGCTTTGCATAGCAGTCTGTCAAAATGATTTTTTGCTCTGGTATGGTTTGCTCCTTCTTTCCTGTCAAACAACTATCGTCTTTATCTCTCCTCCTTTTTTTATGTTTGTTGCTCTCTTGTAACACCTCAAATCTTCGGCACTTTTATGACCTAATTATGTTGCTAGTGCCATAAAACGCTTACTGATACTAAAAGTAGATGAATTTGTGGAGGTTTCGTACCGAGTGATGTTGTGAGCCAGTTGAATTGGCGCGCCGCCGTATGCAAAGATAATTTAAGAAATTCGATTTTTGTGCCCCCTCGTTGCAGTCGCCTGATTGGCTCCTCCCAGCCCTGGCAGGCCACACGCTGACCAACGTAGGCTCCACCAACCTGATGCTGATTGGTGGCTTCTCCTCCTACAACTACTTCAACGACCGTGTCTACGAGTACAACATATCCAACGGCCTCCGCGCGTGGAAGGTGTACAGTCCCGACCAGATGAAAGGAGCCATACCCATCGGTGAGTTTGTATTATCCTTATCTCTCCTCTTTCGTTTCATTGTATGGTACTCACAAGCAACACCTATACTGCTGTAAGTTCACAAAACGCCTTTTTTCATTTTGGCACCAACAACTTTTATTTGCTAAATCGAAAGCCTGATCAGTTATCCTACTTGTGTGAAAATATCAACCTGATACTGAGACTAGTTTTTGAATAAATTTGAATTCAAATTTCAGAAGAACTCTGTTTTTCAACGGTTACGCTGACAAAAAAACTTTTTCTTGCAACTGCTGTGGTGTCAGCTTACGGCAGTATAATCTTCGGCACTTATATGACCTATTTATGTTGCAAGTGCTGTAAAACTCTTTACTAAAACTAAAACCAAACGTCTTGTGCCTCCCAAGTTTGTAATGCTCGTCTCTAAGACCTGTAATAAGGACATTTTTTGTGGGTGGTTGGCGGGTGTTCTGGTGTGGTTTGCTTATTCTTTCCTATCAAACAACTATCGTCTTTATCTCCCTCTCCTTCTTTTTTACGTTTGTTACTCTCTTGTAACGCCTCTAATCTTCGGCACTTTTATGACCTTAATTTTGTTGCAAGTCCAAAATGGCTGAAAACAGACAGAGCTGGAGATCCTTTGTTGCCTAAAGGCCAGATGGTGTAACGGGTAAAGAGAGAGAGGAGTGTTGCAAGTGCTGTAAAGCTCTTACTAAAACTAAACTAAACTAAGACCTACCTTATTATGTTGCAAGTGCCGTAAAATTCTTACTAAAACTAAAACCAAACTTCTTGTACCTCCCAAGTTTGTAATGCTTGTCTTTAAGACATTTAGTAATAAGAAGGATATATTTTTTTTCGTTGCAGGTGTGTATGGTCACAGTGCTGTGTTCTGGTGTGGTTTGGTCCTTCTTTCCTATCAAACAACTATTGTCCTTATCTCCCCTCCTTCTTTTTTACGTTTGTTACTCTCTTGTAACACCTCTATTCTTCGGCCCTAATTTGACCAAACATCTTGTGCCTCCCAAGTTTATAATGCTTGTCTTTAAAACATGTAGTAAGAAGGATGTGTTATTTTATTACGTTACAGGTGTGTATGGTCACAGTGCCGTGTTCCACCCGGAGTATAACTGTGTCTACATCTACGGCGGCTATCTGTTCCGGTCGGACGAGTGGTCTGTCTCAAAGGAGCTCTACTCCTTCGACGTGAAGGACAAGATGTGGAACATGCTCTACCCTGAAGTTTATAGCGAGGTATTCAAAGACTGCAACTTTGCTCGACTTTTTTTACTTTTAAGATAATTGAAAACTTTGTGTGTGTGAGTCGTGCTCGGTCAATGTTGTAGTGTGACCATAACTGGGTCGATAGTGCCGTAAAACATCTACTCAAACAAACAAAAACATTATAGTGTTGTTATAATATTCTTTTTTTCTCATTCAGACCTTCTACTACATTTCAGTGTCACTTTTCATTTGTTTCTAGTAAAGTGTGTTTGTTATCACACTCGTAGATAAATGGACCTTTAACCCCAAAACAGAAGAAAATGATACCAACATAAAAAAAAAAAGTAAAGATAAATTGTCGTCTGCAACATAACAAACATCTCTGTGTGTTCTACTCAACATAACAAACATCTCTCTATGTTCCACTCAACATACGAATCATCTCTCTGTGTGTGCGTTTCCTCAGCTGGAGGCACGTGTGTTCCACTCGGCGGCACACGTGGGCAACACCATGGTGGTCATCGGAGGGCTGACCTACATGGGCAGCTACGGGAGAGACGTCCTGGTCTACGTCTACAGCTGCAACACCTGGCACCGCATGAAGTTTCAGGGTGAGCAGATTTTGTATTGCTTGTTTTCTTCATCCATGTTCCTCCCCCCACCTTCCTCCTCCACTCCACCCTTTTGTGCTGCGCTTACTTTTGTATTCAGTTATCATTTGTAAAAATAATGTGTTTTCAGGAGAGAAAAAAAAAATTATTGTCAAGATTCATTTGTCGTGGGAAATTTTTAATAAAATGATGTCTGGGACAAAAATGGTTTCCTGTCAAGGACATGTGGATGTGAGAATATTTGAAGGGTTTTTTTTGTGGGTGGTTGGCAGGTGCTCTGGTGTGGTTTGCCCCTTCTTTCCTATCAAATCTATCGTCTTGATTTCTCCTCCTCCTTTTTTATGTTTGTTACTCTCTTGTGCCACCTCAAATCTTCAACACTTATATGACGTAATTGTGTTGCAAGTGCCGTAAAACTTGTTACTAAAACCGTAGGGTTTTGCTGCCTAATATAATTCATTAGAAAAGCAAGGGATAAAATTTGTTGAAATAAGATGTTTTCCCAGATTGTGATACTGCCCTTGCAACCTGCGATTGGTACTTTTTGTCTTTTGATGCAAAAGAACTAATTTTCATCAGATCACCTAGTTTTACGCACACTTCTGTTTGTGATTCATATGGGTTATGGAAGGTTCCGCTGGTAGATTCTTCTTCTTGTTCCCTCTGTCGTCTGTCTGTCCGTCTTACTTTTTCCCTACACTAAATGACAGTTATAAAATTGTTTCAGTGTGTTTCTTTGTCCCCGAATGAGGAGCAAAGTGTTTTGTGGAGTTGTGCAGTGAAACCTTCCATGTATTATTACATTGTATGTTGCTACCTTTGAACTACAAAGTTCTATCTCAGTGGATGGTTGGCAGGTGCTCTGGTGTGGTTTGCTTCTTCTTTCCTATCAAACATCTATCGTCTTTATCTCCCCTCCTTCTTATTTTGTGATTGTTACTCTCTTGTAACATCTCTAATCTTCGGCACTTATATGACCTTATTGTGCTGCACGTGCTGTAAAACTGTTACCAAAATTTTTTTTTAAATAAAAAAAGTTCTATCTAACATTTTTGGCTGTTTTAAGTTACTAAGACCATAAGGTCAGATGCCAAATGTTGTATCTGCTCCATCAAAATTATAAGATTATTAGGAGTGGTTATCAAGATATTCATAGAATTGCACTAGAAAAAGCATGACATGTTGGGAAACTCAAAATTTTTTTTCTTCTCAAAACCACTGAGCAGATAGAACTGTGTAATTCTAGGGTAGCGATATGCCGGCAGGTGAGGAGAAAGGCGAATG